AGCATCTTGGCCAAGGGCTCGCATTTTTACAAAGAAAAGGATACCATCTCAAATTCAAGCTACCCATATACTGTTACACGTGCTTTGTTAGTTCAGCCTGACATTAATATGACTTACCTTGGGGAATATCAATGTACCTCAGCCAAAAAGGCAGGACAGAACTTAACCAGACCACACTTTGGAGCTTTTACTCCAGTGCAGAAAAGGCAAATTGAGGACAACCCAGAAAAACAAACAACCCTCCCTCAGGTTTGGGTAAAAGGTGCTTTGAGAAGAACTGATCAAAACTGTGCTTGTAACAGGGTAACCTCTGAAGCTGTTAAAAAGTATATTGCAATTGTTTATGAAAAGTTAGCATAAACCCCGGCTAGCTACTTTCCAGGCTGGAAAAAGGTTTCTAGAAGAATGTGATGTATTGTTTGTGGGAGCTTGCAATTCTCTTTACTGACTATTGTTTCAAGTCTAGTGTCAGAAGTATCGTGACGAAACTCATCAGAGATAAGTCTGAATCAGTAGCCTACAGATTAGTTTTATGGTCATGATGCAAACTGGACATTTAGGTTTTGATAAGGAAAACTCAGTTACAGAGATACTAAAATGCTCTGTGGCCAAGCTCAGTGTGCTATGCACACAGGAATACATCAGCAAATCAACAGTGCTAAGATTGAATTACCTACTGTCAGATATTCTCTGAAAAGGCTAAATCAGCACTAGTTTCTTTATTTAGGTTCTTCCACCATCGAATTTTAATTGCAAAATGGAACAGATGACAGAGGATGATGATACACTTCAGACTAAAGTAGTAAGGGATACAAATGTACTGCCAGATGTATAGCAAAATAATTATTATTCCTGCAGTTTATCCCATAGTTCATGCAAACGTGGAAAACATTCTTCTCCATACTTGTACTGTCATATCACTGACACCACCATAAATGTAAATCACATACGGGTAACTCCGAAGGATCATCATCTGAGGTGTTAGAAAGATTTTATGAAAGAACTTTTTCTTCCTTAACCACACAACTTTGAGACAAACAGTTGCATTTTAGGCAGCAGATAAATGTGTTATACGAAACATATAGTACAAGGCTGGGTGACAGGAAGAGTGGGTCAAAGTTTCTGTTTTTTTCAATATGAGTCTTTGTATACCATACACAAGGCATAAGGAAATGTCATGAAAAAGCTACCAATTTCAGTTCTTATCACTGTGATATTGAAACACAGTTGACTATTCCTTCCCTCGAACACAATCACACTCAGAGTGAAGAAAGTATTGGGGGGAACAGATGTGCAGGGATGCCATTCTTTTTTGGGGAAAAAAAAAAAAAAGGAAACAAAAAAAAGTACAGTAAAAAGTAAAGTAGAGCCCAGAAACACTGTTCCTTTCATCTCCGCTCTTAGGAAAGATACCTTTCAGTCAACAGTTTTAGGAGAAAATTACGCCATCTGAGATCTAAACTACATATATTCAACGAAAATAGTTTTGCAGTCTATCCTCTCCCTGTCTCTGCACCACACAAAGAATAGCATTTGTCGCCTGCATTCCTTATTTGAATTCCCATGGGCTAAGAAATGTCCTTGCTTCCATAGTTACTCACCTGAATAGTGACCATTGCTATTTTGAGTAGCTGAATCCCAAGTTTCCAAGGTTTCCTGCCCCGGGCCCAGAATTTCTCACATGGATTCATGAAGAAGAATTTTAACTTCCTTCTAAGCTGGTCCTCCAAAAGCCCCTCCTGTGATACTGACAGGTGTCGTTTGTAGCTGCAAAGATTTTCATCATCATGAGCACTGCAGCTGCTCACAGCCACATCAGGATTTTCCATTTCTGAAATGAAAAGAAGTCCATGTCAGCTGGAAAACATGCAAGCATGAATACAGTAGCATCAGATCAGTCTGCACAGACAACCTGGACTCCAGAGATGTTTATCTTTTGTGAAAAGCACTTGCATATAACACTGAATTTAAGACCTTCCTCGTAATATTGCACATATTCTGCAGAAGCCAAAGAAAAGTTTGAGCAAGCTCTTAAATTTGCAGATAGGCTGTCAGGACATTATTTAATAGTGGGATTTCTGTCCCTTTTGGAATTGTGGAGTCACTTGCTGAAAACTTCTTCCTCTCTCACTTGCCAACAACATCATATATGCCAGATATACTGACTCATTTCCTCTGTTCAGAAGAGTACCAAAAGCCTTTCATGAGTGTTCACCCTTCTGGAAAACTTACCTACTTCTGTAGCTAGTATTTTCCCCTGCTGTCAGCCTGCTGTCCAGTCCTTTAAAGAAATGGAATTTTCAGGACAGACAGCATTCTTCTTAGACGTTAGTATTAGTGTCGTTTGCTCTTGGAAATGTTGACCCAGCATGCTAAATTGCAATTCAGGTAAATTACCCGAGCGCATTAAGTTGTCATTTAGCAAGATTATATCCATTTCTTCAGCCATAAAAGACTGAATGCAAACCAGTGGTGTGCATGAACCAGACAAAAAGATCAAAAGGTAATTGTACTCAAGCATCATGATTAGCCAAAGGTGCTCACATTTTAAACAAGTATGAAGGGAAAAACTAGAAGAGAATCTTATAAACAGTCTGAGATGTTACTCTCTACAGTATTCCACATGTTTAGATGTTAATCTGTTGTTAACTTCACACCCAAACATTTTATAAATGCTTTATAAACTACTTCTTAAGAGGTAGCCAGGAATATTTATTTCAGGTAAAAGATTGTTGACATTAAGAACAGGAGACAGCCCAGGTTGTGAATAAATTTAAAGATGTGCCATATTAGACAAATTATTTTTAATTTGCATAAGAAGTTTCTTATATAACTCAAAAAAAAAATCACCAATATTAATTTTAAAAAATGCATAGATCGCATCCACTCTCCTCAAGCAGCCATTGCACACACCAGAGCACAAGTTTGTTTTCAGATACGGTTCCAGACCTTCAATTTCCCCATACCTCAGCGAGGGCAAGACAAGTTTTGAATCAGCCATTTAACACTGAGAATAGGCTCATAAGTAGGCTTTAAAAAAAAAAAAAATCTGCTCCTGTTTTATCAGGTCTCCACTGTCTTTTGGGATAGAGTACTCCAGTCTTCACTCATCTTTCTTACAGCTGATCAATCATTTCTACATTAAGCCCCACTCTGATACTGCAATATTCCTGTCAATGCACATGCTTGATTAAAATAATAATAACAATAATAGTAATAATAATAAATAAATACTTCCTGACCTCACGGTATCGGCTTGAGTTGATGCTCCAGACAAGTCCACGGGAGCTGATCTCGCTCGGGCCCGCGCAGCGGCAGCGTAGGCAGCGTGGGCCGTGGAGCCGCGGGGGGAGTGGGCGGGCAGCCCCCAGCGCGGCGACCACCCCACGGCCCACGGCGCGACCGGCGACAGGCGGCTGCCGGACACGCTCACAGCCGCTCACGCCTCGCGCAGCCTCTCAGGTCGCGCGGGGGCCGCCGCCGGCCTCGCCGGCCTCCCCTGCCTTCCTCCCCGCCCCTCCCTCCCCTCCCCTCCCCGCCGCGGGGCACCGCCGATCCCCCGGGGCCGCCGGTGCGGGCGGAGCGCGGCAGCCCCCGGCCCCTCCCGGGCCCGCCTGGGCGCTGATGCACCGCGGCATCCCAAAGCCAAAAGCTGGGGGCGTGTTCCCCGTCCCCGCTTCGTGTTTTTTAAAGAAAAGGCTTCAGCGTACCTGCCCGCCGGGTCACGTCCTTGCCGCGAAGGTCCCGCTGCTCCCTCGCCTCCTGCGGGGCCGGGGGCTGCTGGCGCGGCCGTGGGAGCGCGGGGCTCGGAGCCCACCGCCGGCCCCCTGCTCCGCTCCCGCGGCTCCGCGGGGGACAGGGCCGGGCCCCCCCGCACGCCTGCCCCAGCCTCGGGGGCTGCGGTGGGCTGGGGACACGGGCACACGCCGCGCCTGTCACCTTCTGCTGCACATCTCCCTCCTGCCGCGCGTGACTGACGGCTCTCTCTGCTGCATGTACTTTCTATTGGATGGTAATGCCGTCTCCAGATTTACTAACTTGAGCTTCTGCATCAGCAGAAAAAACCGTAACGCTTATGTTAGAATTAGCTGTGTCTCATCTGTAATAAAAAAACAAACCAAACCAAACAAACCCACAACCAACAAAACTCAAAACCTTTCTGGTCACAGAACGGTAGGGCAGCCAGCAGTACAGTGAACTAAGTGGGATAACAGGCATGCTTAAGTCATTCCACTTGCATGCAGTTAAGCTATTAAAGTTATTAACCGGTGTTCAAAGAAACGGTCTCCCTTCACCGCACTGCGGAAATGATGGTTTCGGTGGTGCTGCCCGCCGGGTGGTAGTGCCGGCGTGAAGCCGGGTTATGGTAACTGCGTCCAGTCACCAGCTGCCTAATTCGTGCTGCAAGCACCCATGTGAGCATTGGTTTGAAAAAAAAAAAAAAAAAAGAAGGCAAAATAATGACACGGCAAAACCAGGGAGAGTAGCAGGCATTTTTAAGAGAGGGAACCTCCTGGCTGTAGAGAGAGAAATTGAAGACAGCGAGGATCTCTCCTGCCTACAAAGAGGAGGATGGAGGGTCCCTGGAGAGCCACTAAGGACCAGCACCGGGTGCTCCACAGACATCAAAGGAAAGATATTTCAGGGTTCCTGTGTTTTACATTGCACCAAAGCAAATTAAATTATTTTTTATGCATCAAAAATATGAAAGATGTGGAACACAAACCTTGTCATTACCAAATCGCATCGAATCACCTAAACCCCCTTCCCCGCTGCAGACGCGCCCAGCGCTGCCGGGCAGCTAATGGCGGGGACGGGGGGGACCGCGGGCCGAGGCGGCTGCCGCCTACACACCCCATCGCGCTCTGCTCCCCGCGTGCCCCGGGGCGGCGGCGAGCCTCCCGCGCACAGCATGCTGGGACACGTAGTTTTGATCTAAACGGCCGCCTTCCTGCGAGGCTTCCCCTCGCGGGGGCGGGCTTGGAAAGCAGAGCGCTGACTGGATGCCGGAAACGTCAATCCTGGCCCGCCCCGTTGCCCTGACAACCGCGCGGCGTCAGGGAAGCCGCGGGGCCGGGCTGCCGCGCAGGTAGGGCGGCCAGGCGGGAACGGGTGAAAAATCACAGGCCTGAGCGCACGGGCAGCGGCCGGCAGGGAGGGGCCGCCGGGCCAGGCTGGGCCGGGCCGGGCCGAGGCGGCGGCGCGGAGCCCGCGGCCTGCTCCGTGCGGCCTCAGCCGCCTTTTTCACCGCGCAGCCCGCCAGCGGGCCCAGCGCCTTCCTCCGCCGCCGTGGCTGCGCCGGGGGCGGGCGGGGGGCTGGCGAGCAGCGCCGAGCGGCTGCAAAGCCGGCCTCAGCCCCGCCGGCGGGCCCCGCTGCTGCTCTGCTGCTGCTGCGCGGGACCTGCGCATTCCTCCTCACGGCCCACTCCGCGCAGGGTTTTGTTCCAGCAACCTAGCTCTCACATTTCAAAGATCAGATGATAATTATTACTTTTGCTTAAAAAAAAAAAAAAAAAAAAAAAAGGATAAAGGCTTATCCAGTGGAAATCTTTACAATACAGCATTTCTGGTGCAAAAGTCACAATATATGCTACTGTTTGCTTCCTGAAAGGATTGTGTTATGGCAACTTAAATACCATACTTATTAATTATTGAAGTAGCGGCCAAACTGTTAATAAATTTTAATTAAGTTGACCGGCGGTACTGGCTCACAACAAGTTCTGCCTGGGCCAGTAAGGGCCTGGGCAAGATTACAATAAAGCTATACTTCCACTCTTTGCACCCTTTTTTCTTGGACTGATGGCTTCATTTCTATAGCCAGAGGTAATATAACTATTTTCAGTAGCCCTCAATTTTTCATCTGTCAATTTGCCCTGTTACTTTTTGAAATGGTGCACTTTTGGCAGCAACCTTGTTCGCAGGCAGTATGCTCCATAATTCAGCTACCATTTGTGCAATGAAATACTTCTGTACTACTTTTGTTTGTTTTCAGGCTGTCCCTTGGTAAGCTCATGTGATGCCAGATAGATCGTGTATTACGAAAGACCGTGAATAATCATTCCCTGGTCACTTTCTCCAGGCCTCTTGTGATTTTATTGCCTTCTGTCATATGCTCTTTAGTCCTGTCTTTCCCTGGCTAAAAATAGTCCTTGTTTATTCCCAGTACAAAACATGTTCCATATCTTCGATCATCCATGTTACCCTCTTATTTTACCATTTTCAATTTTATTCTATTCCTCTTTGAATGGAGGAAAGAAACAAAACACAGTATTATCCCATATTTTAATGAAGTTCTCCATTTTGTTCTTCATGCCTTATTAATTCTTAACCTAATTTTACACTTACTGTACTTATCATCCCAGAGCCTATAATTACCTCTCTACTGGTTTCTGTCAGTAAGGCCTAGTTTCATGAGAATTTGTATGTGTGAAATCAGGTACCTTCAAAAAGAACTATTCATATGCTGAAGTGATTTGGCAGTTGCCAAAAATTCAGCTTTACTCCCTGCAATTTATACAATGAAGGTGTGTCCAAATATGCACAAGCAGTATTAACTTCAGGTTATATAACTTCAGGTGTTTGTATTATTTGCTCTTTGTATAGAGCAAAGTAGAATAAATTTAATTAAAGTGAATATGAATTTCTGGAGAGATTAGGTCATTGTCAAGATGATATTTTTAACAAGTTCCTAAATATTTACAGACGAATGTGATTTTTACCTTGATAGTAACACAACAACAAAAAAACAAGTAGCACATGTTTTTGATAATTTCTTTGTAGTGATTTTGTTAAATGGAAGTGCACTCAATTCTTCTGTCATTCCAAATTGTAGTAAATTAGAGCCCTAAATTAGTAATGCAGACAGTCTTGACCTTAAATCATTCCATTAGGCAACAAATGAATCATTCCATGTTCTCAATTCAGACAGCATCTTTTGTACCACTGATAGCTAATTAACTTTCCCTTTTTGCAGTTCCTAGCAACTTCACGGATTTGTTTTATAACTGTAAACATTTCAGTACATTAAATGATTATGAGAACACTCTGATCTTATTTTTTCTCAAGCCTAACGTTCAAAATATTATAGCCATCTCTAAATGAACTAGGTTACAAAATGTCAAATAAAGTTGTCAGACATTTACTTGGGTTTTACCAATTAAATAATGTAACGCTGCGTTTCACTGAAAAATTGCTGAAAAATTAGACTGAACATATTGAATGAAATTTTAATATTACCTACTTTTTAAGAATAAAATATATGACAATGTTTATGACAATAGATTTTCAAGAGCTATTATTTTGTATAGGTTTTTTCACTTTTAAATTTTTGAAATGATGTTAATTTAAATGTTGTTTCCAAACTCTCTTCTCAATCACAGAATCATGAAATTATATAGCATTAATGGAAATGCATGTTTCTGGACAAATGTACATATTAAGAGTCCTTTCTAAATAAGCAATATAGAAATATCCCTAAGAGGATAAGAATTAACCACAGATTAAAGAAATTATATTTTTTGTCATATTTTCTGATAGCCCTCTAACACAGACACCAAACTTTTCATGGTTTTCTTGATAGGATTTGGTACTTCGTGTAAAAATTTAGGGAGTGAAAAAAACTCCAACCCCTGCAGTAAGAGGTAACTTCTGAAAATACTAGCTGTTATCGTACACATTAACAACCATTAGGATTTTTATGCCTTTATGTCTATTTTGGAAGAGGTGGGCTGCAAAAGATTGCTCTTCAGTACCTGTTTTCAAGTTGTCAGTGGTGTTGGTTTCCCGCAGGGAGCACCTGGGGGAGCACCAGTGTAATCCGCTGTGAAAAACCCAACTTTGCATACATGCTTTGTAAATGGCTATGGGCTCGAGTATGCTTCCAGAGGAGTTTTTAGCTTTTGTTTTATTTTGAGGCCTTACATATTTCCTAACCACTGACAATCATATGCCCACAGGATGGCAAATGGGCAGATGCAATATGGTGTTGCGGATACTCTAAAAGGAGATAATTACTTTGTACTTTTCTATCTGCTTTCCAGCTGGTGAGGTTCTGTGCATCACAGATGGAACCATGAACAGTCCTATCACTGCATTCATTTTCAACCCTTAAGCAGGGATACTTTTTGTATTAATATATGCATATACATACACTCAGACACTCATGCTGCCTTCACCAACACTACCCTCATCTGTATAGTGCTGTGTGTACCTCTGCACCTGATTAAAGAAGGAGGAACTGCATTACTGGGAGACAATTTTCAGAAGTTTTAACTGTTTTTATAGGTATAATATACTTGAAGTCAGTTAGAAGGAAAAGGGATGTTATTACTTGCAAGTTTTTGTACTAAACATAGACATGTGACTTATCTCAGCCCTCTCTGTTTCCTCTATTCATGTGACTTAGAGTTTAGGTTACTCAGAAGATAGAACTCAAAATTTCCAAATTGGCTTTGTTTCAGTGTATAATTAGGAAATGGTGAAGTAAGACAATGTGACTGTAATGTATATGAGATGGTTCATATTGTCCCTCAACTACTTTCTAAGCCAGCTGGCCTCTACCCTGGAGGGCTGTCTCTTTTATCCAGAGGCATCAAGATCCATTTCAAATTAGATTAATCACAGAATCCATTTATAAAATGGGTCACAATTTTAAAATGTAAAATATACAGAGAGATGGATAAGAAATAGCTTTGTGCCTTTTTTTTTTTTTTTATTTAATAAGAAAAAATTAGCCTCTTTTAACCATCTGAATTGACATGCACTCTAAGTTAGGTAGCCCTAAGTGTTTCAGAACTATAAACTAGGCATATTGTTCAGTGTAGAGGCTCATTTGAAAGATTATAACTGGGAAAATACATAAAAAGTTAGACATATATTAGACATAAATATACTGTTAGGTGTTTGTAGTCCTGTATTTGACAAAAAGACTGAGAATAAGGGCAGAAAAACCTAATTTTCTCCACACATTCATTATATGTGACTTGCAAGAGTTTTTTTAATCTTCCAAAACCATCATCCCTTGCCAGGCAAAAGTTTCAGAATTCTCAAATGTTAATCTGTTTTGTATTGGTATTATTGCTTTTTGGAGAAAAGCAGAAGATTGAATTGCTACAGTTCTTCAGATGGATTAACGAAGGGGGCTGTATTTGCCATAATGACCAATAACAGAGAAATGCACTAACGTCCCAGGGATGCAGCTTGTCACCTGTGACCTGCGATATCCCATACAAGACAAGAGAGCCTGAGGATTTATGTTTTTCTATTTTGATTGCAGTGAAACAGAAAAATATGTAGCTATAATGTCAGACTCTGCTCCCATTAGCAAAATTTACCTTGAATTTGTGGGAAGTTAACATAGATCCCAAACCCAAGCTATAATACCAGGCTATAATCCAGGACCTGTATCTTGCCATCAGTGGCCATCTCCAAACTAAAATTTATATTGGAAGCTAAAATTATATTGCTTGCTTCTGGAGTATTTGAGAACTGTGTTACAAAACAGAAAAACACTGTTTCTCAGTCTGGGAATGAAAGGCCATCCCAAAGCCAGGATGACCACTGAAATTACAAATGCACAGGCCACGGTGTGTTTGTTTTAATGCTCACACTATTTTAGACCTTTCATTGGGAAAGTCTCAATATAGAATGTTCATTTTACAAACTCACCTTTTCACCTTAAGCATCCTGACAGTAAACGCACTGTTCACATCTGCAGGCAGACAGGCTGTAGCTCCTGTAAGAGTTCATCAGAGATAGTTATGTCATGACACAGTTCTTGAAGGTGCCATCTCTTTTGGTCCTGTAAGTGCATCTGCTTTCCTCTTGTTAGTGTTAAAGTTATAATAGCATCCAAATACTATAGGTGCTTTGTAGACATTTAAAAAAATGGTGTTTCTCCCAGTCAGTTTGCAGTCTTAAAAATAATGGGGAACATGGAAGAGGACACAAACAAACTGAGAGTCCCTTATCCCAGTCGAATGCCTCTAGCTGTTCAAGAATAACATCAAATAATTTTCAGTACTTGTGACAGAATTTGGACCATCCCAATGCAGTTGTCCTGTCGGCTGCTATGTGTGTACCTTCCACAGGATGGTGCTGGCAGTGTATTCTGTGGCAGTGTGTTGTCCGGTTTGTACAGCGGGCAGGCTGTATTGCATTTCCTTCTTTGCAGTGGAACTGAGCCTTTTCTATGCTGCTGTTCTCATCCTTATTCTAGGTTTTGGGAAGAAGGAGAGTAAATGAAACAAGAGTACCGTTCTGTACAGTATCGTCTCCAGCTGCTACATGTAATTATGCATACAACTTCTTTCCAAGTTTGTCCTCCACAGAACTACACTGAAAAATGAACTGGAAATAGAAAAGCACAGAAATGCTTTGTGCAGCTGAGTAATGATTTACACTTAAAGACATTGGGACAAATATATACAACTGGAGAATTTTCACCTGCACTCTTCCCACTGTAGCTGAGGTCCTTAGCTTTCTGCAAGGGAAATCCCTATCCTAATTTAACCTTTCACTGGTTTGGATATTTTGGAAGAAGTATTTCCACTTATTACATATCATACCAAAATAGTGGTTATTATTTAAAATTATGGAACATTCTTTTGGCTGTGTATGAAAATATTACTGCAATGATAAATCATGGACCAAATTTTCACTCATACATGGTGCATTCCACTGTCTGTTTAAAGTTTATTGATATGTATCTTTCTCTAGTGAAATCTGAAAAAAATGTCGGAAGATCTCGTATCTGGCAAGACCTCATTGAAAAGTCCAAAAACCTCAGCAAAGAAATGGAAAGGTGGAAGCAAAGCTAAGAAATCCTCAAAAGGAAAACAAACACAGCTTGGTATGTAAGGTACAGCAGCAATTAAACAAGCAGTAATCTGGTCTCATGTGACAGGTACCTTAATTTGGGTCCATGCATTTAAGTAAACATGAGATAAATTAGAGTATACTATTTTATATAATTAATGGAGATCTAGAATTACTGATTATGGTTTTGTAACCAATATATGAAACATAACAAAGCTACATTGCAATATTTACGCTTTGTCTTGGTAGTTTAGATTTAATAGTTTGTGGTGTCATAACAGTATTGAATGGGAAACTGAGAGGCTTAATATATACATTTATAGTGGGGAGTTTCACAAAAGCTAACAGCCCAAGGAGAAAGCATCAGTCAGAGAGGTATCCCCAGAAGCAAGAGTTCAGGTGCTCAGGATCACACTCTAAAGGTATAATAATAGAGCTTGAAAATATATCAAAGTCTCATAATTTAATTTTGCACTGCATTTTATTGCAATTTTTTTTGAGATATGCTGAGATACATCTCACTCGTGTCATTTATAAAGTGTATAGTTAATGAAGTGTGAAGTGTAAGGCTAACGAGCCTTTGCTATATACAAATATTTTTCTCCAGTGATCCATGCACATTCTCAGAAAAGGTGGGAATGTACTCTTGCTTGGGTTTTATTTGTTTTGTTTCATGGATTTTTTTTTTTCTGCTGTGACAGCCACCTTCCTGAAGTTGCTTTGCCCAACCAGCTGATTAATTGCTGTTGTGCTGCAGAGAATATTCTGTACATCAGTGCTAATCTCTTCCCATCCAACCTCGCTGGGAGGTTTGCAGACCCTCTCTCAGGAGCTGAAGAAAGCCCGGCTCCTGCAGCACCCTGCCAGCCAGAGCAAGCCTGCCCACTGCACCACTTGTCCCAGGGGACTAACGCCTGCTCCTCCTGCAGCCTCCCAGTTCTGCTGCTTTCTGATGTTAGAGAGCCTTGCCCATTTATCTGCTCTCCACATGATTTACACCGTTTACATGGTAATTGCCCCAGGCAGGTAGCAGTCAGTGCCGTTTTCAACCATGGAAACTGCGGTGTGCATCACAAGATGACAGATTTCTTATGGCTTCTCTCTTACGTACACCACCTGCTCAAAATAAAAATGAGTTTTAATCTCCATAGTTTCAAAATATGCTAACATCTCCTTAATATACAGACCTATTTTAAAAGGCTTCACTGATTTCTTGTGTTAAATTTGAACTGAGTAGAAATTATTTTTTTGTTTCCTTTTCACAGTTTACTTTTAAATGCAAATATATATTTAAATGTTGCCCTAACAATGAAAGAACTGTATATAGTTACTTTGTTAGGAAGAAAAACTACTGATAACATCATGTTGTTATATTTCAGGTAAAAAAGATGAAGTTGATCTTTCTATGGCTGGTATAGGTAAGTGCTATGATGACTGGGCTTTAAAGCCCTAATAGTTTTGGAGTACTTTAAACATTTTGAAGCTTCAATGTTACTAATGCTAGGGAATGAAAAGGAACGATTTTTTATGAATGGGAAAAATGAGAAACTATGAAGAAATGCAGCTGTTAGAGTAGTGATTACAGTACCACTCTGAGTAGCAGGCAGTGCAGCAAGGAATGCTGAAATAGGTGTGGGTTTGTAGAAGATGTTTTTATCTTTGGTCAAGGGGAGTTGGGATCAGGGGAAATAAAGAGCATTAGAACAGAATTATAGGGTGCAAAATGTTTGCATTTAGTAATAGTTAAGCAAATGAAAGAAAATATTTTTATCCTTTTTAACTTTTTGTCAAATCACTGAATCTGGTGTGAAGATAGCTCATTTTTTTGATCAGATCTAAATAAACACTGATTGATCTCTTTTGCTTTGTAGAAAAAAAAATCTGCCATTTGAGCATCAAAAGATATCAAGCACTTCTCTTGGCTTATGAGCAAGAAAAATGCATTTTTATGTGTGGCCATAGTTATGGCCTAAACCATGCGATTATTTTAATTGAAATATATTCTTTTATCTTAAACACCGAATAATTTTAAAACATTTTTTCAGATCTCTAGTTAGATTTTTCTTCTGACCTGATTTGTGCAAGTTATATATTTTGATATAATTTAAATCGATATCAATGTCAAATTTGTCTACCTTTTACAGCAACAGCCCAAAAGGTTATCTTCTTAATTAGCTTTTAACAGTACAGCTTTTATTGATAAAAGCTAAAACGTAATGTGACAAATATACAAACCAGGTAATTTTAAAAGAAACCATAAATCACTTGTCTTCCTACCTAATCCAGTGAGCACACAGGCGGAAACGAAAATTGCACTCTGATTAGCTTCACCGAAATGGCTAAATTGCAATTAGTGAAAATGGGCAATAAGCGATGCCTCAGATGATGTAAGCGTTCCTTTTAAAGTTGTATTTGTGGTGTTCCTGGAGATACTTACTTTTGACAGTAAGAGAGAATTTTACCTCCACCTAGTGGCAAATAAGATTAGAAGCCATAATATCTGAACTATTGCTGGAAAGATGTTGCTAAAGGCAGGAAAAAGTGCTACTACATGCAAAGACTGTGTAGGATTTAAACTGTATGCATGGTACCTCCTTAGTGGAAGATCTGCAAGTGTGCTTTACTTCTCTTAGAGCTTTCGGGTCCTTTGTGAAGTTCTCGTGATACAAGGAGCTGTAGACTGTTACAAATTATATGGGCACAATTTACTATTAGAACACAATATGAAGCCTCTTATTAGATGCTACAGAGTCTTTACTGGAAAGCACTATTCAATAAAAATGTTCATAATAGTAAGAATTCCAGTATCAGCTCTTTATGTTACAATAATGAACCTATAATACAGATCCTATAGTACAGAATCTGTTATAATATAGAATTCTATAATATAGAATTTTATTTAGACTAAAAGATGTACATATTTTAATTCTGATCATTACTTTGTTTTTAATTTGGACTTACAGCAATAGAGCGGTGAAGAAAATAGACTATTTGTCCTACTCTGCTCCCCCTCATAGTGATGTCTATTGTATTTTTGCTTAACTTTAATGTATGCTTGTATTGTTTCATTTGACATTGAAATCTACATCTCTTTGGAAAGTTTTCTTTAGCATCAACATTTGTGGACAAGGCTGTATGCATGATTCGGCATTTTAAAAAATAATATTATACAAGCTTCTTGACTAAATGACAGTTACTTCTGTTTAGGATTTTTGATGTATCAAAAAAAAAATCTAATTGTTTGGTGTTACTTAAATTTATTTGAGCCATGGGAATAATCTCCTGGAAAAAAATCCCATAAGAATCAGTAGATTATGTTTATAAATTTTCTTTAGGTTCTAGTCGTCCTAATTGCACTAGTCACATAACCAACCCTGAGGACTGAGATATGTACAAATTTTTTGCTCCTTTGCTCTCCTGTCCATTCTGTCCTGTGAGCCAGCTGTGCACGGTAGCGGATGGAAATTGCATTCTGTTTCCATGCACAGCTCTAAGTTTCTATCCTTTTTCTATCCTATGAAATTTAATTTGCAAAAGGAGGTCTAATTTCTTTGTCTCTAATATATCAAAATGTAAAGTATATCTGTACCGTTACTAGGGTTTGAGTCTGCTTCCTAATGGCATCCTAATGAGGCCTCATGCCCTTGGCTAGGGTGGCCTGGGAGTCCTGCAGATCAACTTTTGCAGTTCCTTAAAAGGATTTCAAATGACCCTGGAATAAACACTTTTTCTAAGCATGGTCTCATAGCCAAACTGATAAGCAGAAGAATCTAGCAAGAAGAATCTAGCAGAAGAATCTAGCTTCTAGAAGAAGAAGCAGAGGTCTTGGCCTCATATGGAGGCTAAAGAGAATAGATGTCAAAATGGCAAACTCTGGAAGATAAACGAGTTGTGGCTTGGTCTGATGTTACCAACAGTGAGTCTGGACCAGATGACTTTCAGAGGTCTTTCCCAATCAACATCCCTATGATTTTGTAGTTATATTTTTATGAAGCATCCGCACAAAATTCCCAGAAATCTCTGAGATATCAGGAAGGAAATTCATGCAATATTGACTACAACTTGTGAAGGAAGCGAAGTAATGGACTGTGCATGCTATGAATGGATTGTGTATGCTTTAAAATAACTAGCGAATATCAAGTAAATCATACTTGTTCAGTGCAGGGTATGCCAGAAGCATCGCACATGCCATTAATTTTAGAGATGACTATCACAGACCGGGTGCAGTGGGGGAGCAGCACTGAATGATTTTAAAGGATAAATGTCAGATTCATCAAACATTATGTATTATGTGATAGGCTTATACAGAGATTTAGCTTCCTGGATGATAGAGACTAAGAAGGATTTATTATTTTGTCAGTCCTTGTTGGCTTAGGTTAGAGATGGCTTCTAAAAAACATGCTGAGCCAGCTGGTCAATATCATCATTTTAGATATATCAACTTCAATTTAAGGCACATACAAGGAGAAAAATACAAGTTCTGTGAATTAAGATAAAATATTAAATAACTCAAATTTAAAAAACAGAATGAAACAAAGAAGATAGAAAGTATCAGCTATTATCACAAAAGCCAGCCCAGTACATAAAAATCCCATGTATGAATTTCCCTAAATCTTTTCCACTTTCCTGTTTATCAAAAAGATGACCATTCAAAGTGAATGCCTAGTAGCCTCGGACAAAAGTATACTGGCCTTCATGAAGAATGCTCTTACTGTGGCAGCTGAGACATACAGCATGAGTCTGCTAGCACGGCAGTATTGCAAAGGAAGAAAAGAATCTCGTGGGCAGCTGGATTCAACTAGCTGGGCCTATAGTGATCTTAATCACTTATAGCTGTTACATAAGCCAGAAGGCAAGACATGTAATTTGGGAAGGACCAGTGTTACGTACATGCAGCTGACATACACTTAAGAAGCACTGTATATTATCTTCAGATTGAGTGTTTGCAAAACACAGTCACCAGGTCACCTAACTCTACCCAACCTCACTATAAACAATTAAGGTAACAATCCCAGAGCTAGGATAAGAAATAGCTATCTTGTTCTGAATTGAAATGAATGAACCTAACAGGTCATGTGTATAGTAAACAACAGCTATATGTTCTACAGCAAAGCTGAAAATACAGTCTTGTATCTGACTTGAATCTTAGTGACCTTGCTTTAGTCTCACCTGTTAGTTGAGAAATAGAATGAATTGCATTCTGAACTGGATGAGAGGAAGATGAAAGGCCAAAATCAGAAAAGTATCCTTAGTTGGGATGGTATTGAAGCCTTGTTTAGATTAAACATTGGCTTAACATGGCATTACTCTCCAGGGAAGGACTAAAGTGTATTTATTTATTCATGGGCTCTTCAATCAGAGCCATGCAATTGTGTCCTTAATGTATTAAAAACAGTCCATTAATGACTCTCCACTAAAGCTCTTAATCATCTGTTGATTGAGAGGAAAAAAAAAAAAAAGCTCATACTAGGAATAACGTATTCATTAAGTAGGAAATGCTAGGTAGAGCCTCTTCCAAAATTAACAAACTATAATACAGTTCAAATTCCCTGCCTTCCAAAAAACCAAAAACTAAGATGAGATATTCAAAGGCATTCCATTAGAAAACAGTAAAGACCCAGAGTTATTAAGGCATACATTTATGTTTAAGCAATATGCATTTGTTTATCATGTAATTTTGCTTTCTTTCATAGGTCACCCAGAAATCTTTCCTTTAGTTTTCACTACAAAGACCCAAGAAATTTTTAATTGCCGAGTTGATGAAGATGTCACAGAAGAAAATTGTTTCAAACTTATTAAAAAAGAGGACATCATTCAGGACCTGAAAACAAGAGCTGCAATTTCTGATTTCCATCCTGTCAAAAAAGTTGTCCTAGTATGTAGCTTGTTTCATTCTCACTTTAAGACTTCATGCTCTCAGAGTACACATGCTTTTAATGATAAGGTCTGTCCTTGTTTGACTCTATATAAATGCACTAATGCTGTACTGTCCAAAGGCTATAGGACCACTGTCAACTCAAAGTTTCTCATGGTTCACCATGCCACTTTTTTTTTTTTCTTCAACTATAGATTGAAAATATACTAAACGTAATGTAAATATTATTAGTTTTGATTCTGTGAACTGGCAGAGCTTCACACATTTTGGCTTCCCCTAATTCATGATCTATTTATGTATTGAGAATCATTGAAACAGTTTCTTTTCTGTTTAATTCTCTGTATGAAAAGGTTAGTTTTGTCCCAGACTCATTTTTATTACGAAATAAAACCCACCTGTTCAATTAGCACATGAAATTCTCTGTTAAGACCACAAAATTAACCAGATACCGAATTTACACTAGTGGTGGCTTTGCCAGTCACAGGCTCATGTCTGTTTTATATGTTACTTGCTTTCAGTTTTCCACTAATTATTTTAATTAAAATAGGAATATCCAGGGGAAGAACTTTTAGTAGTTTTTGATGCAAAGTTCCAGTATGGACAGAACTTTTACTTTGTTGCTTCTGAGGAAGCTAAGGAAAACCTTCTGAAGGTAAGAAAATCCAAGTATACCACAGCTCTGTTCTATGTGTGAATATTTCCAAATCTTGTCTCATACATATACTTCAGGAATGGTACTGTAATCATAAGCATCTGGTATGCTTGGCATGCCAGAGTGTTTCTCTAAACGTTAAACTGCTCATGGAAAAATACATGTATCACTGTAAAAATATCTTTTATACTGAGAAAGACTGAATTAAATGTTTGTATTTTACTCCAGAGGGCCAGTATAATGCCCATTGCTGCATTTTTATCATAAGCATTAATTTCCTCTGGCAAGACTTAGGTTTTTAAGTAAGACATAAAAATAAAATATTATAATATAATGGGAATTTTCAAATAAATATACTTAATTTTTCACAATATGTACGTATATATGCTTGAAATTATACTTTAAGTTTTTTCTTGAGTTCTGAGTAACTCTAGATACATAGAAGACTTCCCCTTGTACATTGCATCATAGGAGAAGGTTCATGGATAGGTTATATAATTTTTCAACATGAGTTTGTCATCCAGCATCAGGAGAAGTAACAATAGAAAAGCAAATTGCAATTCCAGTCAGAAGGTCCTAATGTAGAAAATCACTATAAACTCTTTCTATATAACAGTGATTTTCTTGCAAGACAACAGTCTCTCTTTAGTAGTTAAATATTAAATATGTAACATTTATTGGAAAATTCTAATGCACAAATAAATGAATGAGACCTAACCTAATTGTTCCCAGGGGCACAGTATAGCCAGACTTACTGCATTGAGACAAAAGTAAAGAATGTATGAATAAAGACTGAAAACTGGGTTTCTAGTTCATACTTACACTTGAGTAACACATTTTTGAAAAAGTACCATTTGTCACTGTTTGATGTCACAGTCTGCAGAAACTGCAGAAGAAAAAGAAGACAAAAAAGAAGAAGAAAATAGAGAGGAAACTCTGGAAGTCCATCCTTATAAGCCTCCTGTCCCCAAACCTTGGGTTTCTCTTGGCAGTGAAAAGGAAGTTGAAGAAGAATCTGTTAAAGACACTGATACAAAGGTCAGAATCAACAGATGTTAGACAATGAAATATCAAAAAAACCCCAAATTTCTTTTAAGTTCCTTAAAAAAAAAAAAAAGTCAGGAAACTGAAAGCTTCAATCCTAGTTTTGCTTGCAGTCTCACAAGAAAAAAAAAAAAAAAAAGAGAGAAATAGCTCAGCTTTTAATAAAACCTGAAAATGCTGCAGAATTTTTTTTTTTTTTTTTTTTTTTTTTTTTTTCACAACTCTCTTCTCGTTAAGTCCTGAAAATAAAGCATGTGAGACTGCATTGGACACACCTACTTTTTCAGCTGTAAGTTCAAAAGTCCTGCTCATCTTTGGTCATTAGCATCTCTGCCACTTTTTCCTCAATTTATTATCTGGCCACATTACAAGTTGAGTTACTGTAATTATATTCTAAGGACCTAGTTCTGTTTCCATGGAGCCGAGTGAACTCTGTTTCATTATATGTATGGCATTTAAGTAGAATGCAACATTTCTAAGGGATCTCTAACCTCAGAATAGATGTTACTGACTACAGATATTACAAGCTGACTTTACGGAAAGACTTACTTGATTAACTCCACCTACAGATTATACTGAGAAAATTATACATCCAAAAAGCAGCTCCACTCACAACTGTCACCTAACTTGTGATGTGTGGGGCATCCCCAAGCATTTAGCTGTCCATCAGTAATTTTCACTCAAAACCTAAATCCCTGTCCAGGGAGGACTGGCTGTTTTGATAGTTCTCAACAACTGGACATCTTGCTTATACTTAAAAAGATGTCTGATTGTTCTAAAGCTAATTCACAGTCACTAAACTTAACCCACATTAGCAGTCCAAGTATTCTGTATTCTACATTGCTGGCATGGCCCACTCAGAAGTATTCTCAACCTACATTCCTCTCCAGTTCTGTGGGAGGTGCTAGGAAAGAAGTACCTGCCTAGGAATCCAAGACAAAGCAATACCTCTCTACTGCCTGACATCAAATGCCTACCTCTCTTTGTGGGTAGAAGTCAAGCCACAACCCTTCTTCCTTCCTAGTTCTCAGTCACTCAAATTTTTGTGGATCCTCTTCAGGGTATTTTCTCTCCCTAGGCACTGCAAGAGAAGCTGAAATACCTCACCCAAAGTTAAGAACTGCACTAAGAGGGAAGGGCTGAAAAGTTATGCCTGGGAAGTCCAATGCAGTATTACATAAGACCTCTTGCAAATCAGTCCTTTAATTAAAGGTGCAGTTTTGATATTGCATGAATTAGAAAATGTAATTCTCTTATTCTATTACCAGAAATCCAAAATGTTACCTAAAGGCAACTTCTTCTTTAGAAATACAAACCCATCTTCTCTTACATATGCAGGTTATTTATATAAGCACTTTAGAATTTCAAAATGTAGAAATATAAGTAAACTCAGCACAGAAATCATCAATAGAACTAATTCTACAATTATATGAATGCTGCCATTTTACAGAATGAACTTTCCAAAAACTTTCTCCTCTGCTAACTACAGAAATATCTCTTTTCCAGATTAGATATGTGATTTCTCGAGTACGTAGGAAGTTTGGTGCACCAATTACATTTACTGATAAGAATGCTTCACATGTAAAAGATGGTTACATTGAATGCACCTCCTATGAAGACAAAACTTTCAGCATTAAAAAGCTTGAAAAAGATGTAGGCATACAAATGGTTCCTAAAGTAAGAGAAGCTAGTACTCAGACAAAATGGTAAGTGTAACAAAATATTTATCAGCTCATTTATTAAGCTCCGCACTGTTTTTGATCTCAACTAAAGTTATGTAAATTACCTCTTCTGGAGTTACTCAGTTACAAACTGATAAGAGAACAGAATTGGATGCTCTGTTTGCATCTTTCTTCTTTCACTCTTTTCCAAAGAGTGAAGGAAAAACTGAATATACTTAGCTTTTAATTTACACATTGAATGGGTTTCTGTCTGCAATTGTTTCTATACCTACTCACGTTCAAATTTATTCTAATTGGTTAGGACCTATCCAAAAAATGCAGCCACGCAGTATTTTCCTAGACAGTTGTCAAATGAAGAGAAAGAAGAGAGTCTGTCATCAGAGAAGCTGAAAGAATTTCTTACATCAGTACATTTAAGGTAAAATTACTGCAGCAATACACATTAAAGGCTACCTGAAATAATAGAGAATACAAGCAAGAACTCTTGTCTGAGTGGACCATCAGTCTGATCAAATACTGATTTTGTTTGTTTCTATATACTTTTGTGGGCTTTTGCTTATTATTTTAATATTAACAAATATGAACGTAATACTTGTTTCTATAAAAATTAACATGAATTCTATGCCATATAAAGATGAATGTTTGTTTAAATAGATATTAGAATTGTTAAAGTTGGTAGTTATACATCTTTTTGAACAAGCTGCAAAGCTATCTTTCAAACACTGCTCACTCAAGCAGAGGCTTATGCAGAAGAGAAAAGGTGCTGTCCTACAGCCCTTAGTCAGGGGACAAGTCCCACTTACTGACATTTTTTGCACAAGAATTGGACAATTGCACTGTACTTGATCCACACAGAACTAGAGTTAAATTCTTGGTACAATTAAATTATTTATATTTAAATGGAAGAGGATTTCCTTACAGTGATGCATCGAGGAATTAATGCTTGCTTTTTTTTTTTTACTACCGTGGTCATAATTTTGTGTAAAACAAAAGCTGCCTCTTTACAGAAATATTTGTGATCCTCCTACCAGATAGTCACATCTGGATTGTTGAAAGTGTTAACTGTTCTTTTCACAAAACAGGATGGAAATTGCATTGCAACAAAATGAAATTATGAATGCTTTTTTTGATGACTGGAAGGCCCTAGCAGATGAAAGCTATTCTGGTGGCAAGCCAGATGTTTATCTTAAAGCATACCAATCATTCACAGATCTGCACTATCTCAAGGACAGAACTATTAGCTGCATTTGCTGGCATCCAACCATTTATGGTAACGTGGTTAAAATACTGATTTGAGACTTGAATGACATATATTATATGACCAATATAAAATAGGCATCTTTCATAAAATTATCAGCTTTTAAATTTAAAAACAAATCAAAACTGATTTAGTATGTCTGTCTGAATTGCTGATTTGAGATTAAGTGAAAAATGAGACAGACAAATTCTTTGTAGAGTTCAGACAGGCCAAACAAAGTCCCTCACACTAATGTATAAGTGGAGATCATAGGGAAGGGAAATTTCTCCATTATGAGGCTCATTTAAGTAGGGCTGCAACTGTGCCAGGTCCTTCTGGTGGCTCTGCATGCCATCGTTGTTCTCCCCATGGCTGGTTCTTGTAGCATGCCCAATACTTGTGAAGAATGATACAGCTACAATGGGACACGGCTCTGCTGAGTGCCAGGGAGCATCACGAGGTGTACTGAATGTCTCCTCCTGCTCCCGGACGTGGATTATTGCTTTACACAGCCAGGCTTAAAGGCACAATGAAGTTCTATATACACGTCCTAGCTGCACAGCATACTACTAGCCAACAGAGCAGCCCATGTAGGAAATTAATTCAGATACAAAAGATTTGATTTCATGATGGGTGGCCAGGACGATATGCCTGTCACATCATTTCAGGTGCAGTATGACACTATTAAGGAGTAGTAGCAAAAAAAGTTTAATTTTATCCTGATGCTCAGGTTCTATGACTCACTGTTAAATAACTTAAATAACAAAAATAATTTCTTTGAAGTTGATCTGTAAAAAGAAAAACAAATACATGATTGGGTTGGGAGGTTTTTTGCTTCTTTTCCAGTGTATTCAAAGTATAAATATAAGTCACTTCGAATAATTAACAGCATGTTGGAATTTGAATTATCTCTTCTGAGAAAAGTAATTTTCTTTCTCAATCAGGGATTATAGCAGTATCAGCAAAAAGGCAGCTTTCTTCTGAAGAACAAGTTAACCTTTCTGATAAATCATTGCTGCAGCAGCCAGTAATACTTTTTTGGAGCTTCTTTGACCCTATCCATCCTCAGGTATTTAATCAGCACTTTTATATCTGCCAAGCGTTTAAATAACAAGAAAACAATCAGTGTGACGGTATTTCTCAACTATTTTGTTTTTCTTCTTTCTAGTTAATATTGGAGTGTTCTGAAGACATTTACTGCTTTCAGTTCAGTCCAAGTGATACAAACATCGTTGCTGGGGGCTGCATCAACGGACAGGTGATAATTCTTTGTTTAAGAATAAAATTGGATATTTCTATATTTTCTTATAGTATAAAAATAAGAGTGAAGACATGTACTCAACATCCATAGTAATACACAGCATCAAAAGACAGATGTCAGAGTCTCAGAAATGGTCTGATCCTGTACTGAAGTTATGCCTGGTTATTCCATAGCTGAGCTGTTCCTGTACAATGCTTCTTTGTAGTACTGATAAACAGGTCAAGCTGTAAAGACTCTTTTTTGTTGTTGTTGAGAGAAGTGTAGCCTTTCAACTGATTCCATCAGACTGAAGAGGCAATACTTTAAAGACTTCATAAATTCTAGTGCAGAGAATGAATCTTTTATTTTTCCCCAAACCTCCATGAACTGTATTTGAACAAATGCATATTAACATAAAGGATGAAATAATACAAGCTATACTAATTTCTCATTGCAGGTTGTACTGTGGGATATTTCTCAATATGAAGAAAAGCTGCAAAATGCAAAAACTGTTGCTGATGGAATCAAGGTAACAGCTGTTAATATGGTGAATGCTTCCATTCTAAATACACTGCAGTACCTCTATGTGTCTGTGGGGAAAAATGGGTGGAGGTATCCTGACTCAAAACAGAGTAGATAGTCTTTGCAATGAGAAACTAGAAAGGATAAAAAACATGATGAGTTAATGAAATAAACCCATTATCACAATATAGTTTCTACCTGATTAATCCAGTTTAATAGCTTTACTGCATTTTGTGCCAACTTTGGCTTCAGTAAGACTGTTCTTTAATGGGCATCAACATGTACTCAACTGTTGCCTGATGAAGCCTATCAAACACATATAGCATTTGTGGCTGAATGTAATACTGAAAATTATTCTGGAACTTTATGGAGAGAAGAATGTTAGCTTGGAAGATGAGAAGCAGATTTCAGTGGGAGGAGACTATGAGGGGGATAAGCATCAGAGACATCTAAGAGCAGAGGAGGAACTAGTAACATAAGTGGATGTGTGTGTGCCTGTGGAGGCATGTTGTCATTACTTTTAGAGCTTCATATCCATATCCAAGGCCTGTTTTGATGCTTGCCTTTTTCTTTTTTTTTTTTCTTTTTTTTTTTTTTTTTTTTTTTTCCCAAAAGAAAGGTATTAGACCCCTAGAAAGTTTTATAAACTCATCTGAAATAGGTGAAGAAGCATTAGCATTATGTGAATTAACATTTTTTCTTTGACAGGTGTACTGTTGTATTTTGGAAATATACTAATATATCTCTTTTTAAAACATTTCTAGCCCTCTCTTATGCAAGTCGAGCAGAATAGCACAGAGCCACCTCTAGTGAGACACTGTGCAGTCTCTACCATAGAGTATAGTCATAAAAAACCAGTAACAGATATATACTGGCTGCCAGATTTTTTAAAGGTGAGTTTAAAAATTCACTTTTCTTCTTTTTATTGTTTTCCTAATCTACCACTTCAGAAATCATAGTTTAAACTGAAGATAAAATATTAAAGATTCAATTATTTGTAATAGCCTTCATTATTTCTCACTGTATTTTCTAAATATTAAATAATCTGGTGCTACTTGTCCCATTCATTGTGCTTTACAACTGTGCTGCATTCTCAATCTGATATGAATCTGCTCATACTGGAAAACATTTCTGTAGCTTCATTGAAAATTAGAATTCAAAATTTTAATAAGCCTTCCATATCTAAAATATATTGAATTTCTTCTGTGAGCAATCTAGCCTGCCACCAAGAATTCAGAGAAATAATTTCAATTACCTAAATATCTAGGCACCCAAAAGTGGTGTTTCTGTAGTTACTTTAATTCTTCCAGGTCCTGCCTGTGTACGCAAAACTTATATTTTCTGTGAGGATTTTAAAGCTCCATAGTACGTAAGGTTTATGTAGTTAAAGGGTCCAACACTATTGCAGGAGTATTAGATGCTCATTTACTACCAAAGTACTGCAAGTGGTTGCCCAAATTAGTTTGAAATGCAAATATAGTCAAATGCAAAATAATGACAGTGGAAAAGCAGGTCAAGAGGAAGAAGGCTGAGATCTTTAAAAGGTTTATGCAAATTAATATAGAGTAATTTTTGAAAACAAATTTTTAAGACCTCATCGATACTCCGTCTTTAGCAGCATTACCAGAAAAGTGAGAAAAGGGGTGCACATATATCAAAAAAGAAAGCTTATACAACTATTCATTATTAAATTATGCTATAGTAGTACCGATGGATACTAATTGGTACGAGATGTAGAACATGAGGAAAGGGGTTAGATAGCGGAATGCTGTTGTGGTTTTTGTTGTTTGGGTGGGGTTTTGCCAGGGTTTAGGCTCAGAAGGGTGTTTTCACGTTCATCTGGGATAACTGATACAGGGGACCCCTGCTTGATAAATAACACTGACAAAGGAATCACTCTGACAGTATTTAGCACATATACTGGGATGTACTTTTTGTTATATAAACATGGAATGTGTGTCAGCCTTGGCACAGCATTGCAGTTTCTATGGCACAGTTCCTAAAATCAGCAGTTCATTATTACATATAAAGGAAAAAGTATTCAAAGCTATATCCAGAACCTAATCCAGCTTTGCATGATTGAGAGACTATCATTTTGACTCTTGGTAGGCAACTCATGAATGAAAATAACAGTAGGATTTGGCCTAAAAAAAAAAAAAAAAAAAAAAAAAGGTGTAGCTGAAACTTTGCCAGATGGTTGATAAGTACAGTTTTAGCCAACATATATATGTTCTGCATATATTGAAAATTATATTTGATCAGAGCATAGCCTATAATCACATTTCCTTTATTTTTCTGAATAAATTAAAATAAAATTGGTATAAAACAATGACTACTCATTAAATGATAAATACTATAAAGCCTGCAGAACTCCACATACACAAACTAAACTATTAATAGTTAATGTCTGAAGGTACCACTACCATCCTGCAGTGTGATAATTTAAGAGAGATGACCCATGGTGTAAACTTGGCTAAGAGATATCACTCCAACCACATTTAGCTGTTTGAGATAAATTTCTCAGTGGTGTGCATTTTGGTTAAGCTGGATAAAAAAAAATTACAGACATGGCAACCTGAGGAGAGCCTGACTTGCAGTGGTGCCAGCAAGTATTATCCTGCTGACTTAAATTAGAATTTTAGGTGTTTAGTAGGCAAAGGTGGTATCACTTCACTTGAAGTACATTTGTAAAATACTTTGACTTCGTAACTCCAAGTTAGTAAGTCCTGATTTTCAAACATTATCAAAGTAGACACAGTGACTTAATTTCTAGAAACCCATTTTATGTGTTGAAGTACTTAGCAGAGTATAATTTTTGTGTCTCATCATCTTCTCCCCTTGTAATTATTGTTACTGTTATTTTTAGGACAACCGAATGGGTGCTACTTTTGAAAATAGAGCTGAAATTTGCATGCAGCTTGTGACCTGCTCCCCTGATTGGTATATACAATACATACTCTACAAGATGTCTTCCCGTTTCCTTTCTAAAGCTTCATGAAGCATACTCCATGATTTAACTAGCACAGTTCTGGATTCTTATCAGCCTATCCTGAATGGCTGAAACTCTGTATGCAAAAGAGAAGCGTATCAAATTCTTGACCAGTTAAGCCCTTTACAGTAATGCCGTTAAGGGTTCATTAACTGAAAAACCTTACATGGACATGCTTATATTCTGTGTGTACCTTAAGAAGAGTGTTGGTCACACATACATGGGCCTAGAGAGCCACACCCCCACACTTAAACCAATTACGTGACTTGCACAAAAAGCTGTTAAAGATTTTGAGGCTACAGAAATACTCAAAACTATATTTAAGCTTAGAGAACTAGTGGGCAAAATTATTCTGTATTAATCTCCTCTTTTGTGGGCTGAATAGTCATGATGGTTATGACCAAATATTACCCTGTGTGAAAGGCTGGCAAGGGGGCAGAATCCAAAAAAATGGAAATAAATGTTAGCTTTCATCATGGCAAAGGGCTTAAGGCTTCAAGGCTGCATGGAAAGGAGGGTCAGAAAGCACAAAGTTTGGTAATGATACAAAGTTTTTTTTCCCTGATCAAACACAGAGAAGACTTCAAAGAATTAAGGCAGAAGAATGATTGCAAATACAGTTGTTAATAAGTCTGTAGTGTAATGCAAGTAATGCACATGGAAGAAATAATTTAAACTATTCACACACCAGGGCTCCAAATTTAAAGTATTCCCCTAAAGTAAGAGCAGAGAAGTCACTATAATGTCATCCTTGAAGAGCACGGGTCCCTGAGCAACTCCTGTTAGAAAAGGTAAAGAGATGTCAGCCATGAGGAAAATTATCATTGTCTATATCAAATCTGTGAATGAATGTCCAGAGTAGAGCAAGAGGAACAATCAGAAGGCTGAAGACTCCAATAACAGATTAAAGTGAGTGGGACTATTTGCCTTGAATATCAGCACATAAACTGGCACACACAAGAACTGGGAATGAGGTTTGATTTGGATTACTACATTACCTGCTACAGAGTTCTGTCAAGTTCTCTCAGCCTCCAGGAATTTCACCCAGGTAGTGCCAGTAACTTTACCCAGTAGCTCCATAAGCAAACTGTATGTATGTTATCTAGTTGCTTTGGCATAGATAACAACTGATGAAATGATGAATAAATGAATATATGCCATCATTTATAAAAGAAGTAATTAAGTATCTAGCATGTCTGCTTTTCAGAGTCTCTATTGGTGTACCAAGTTTGAAGATGAAAGGCTGAAAAAAAAAAAAAAAGCAACTTTAAAATGTGTAGAAAACTGCATCTGACTGAAACAAACCCAGGGAATAACATTATACAATCATTTTTCAGCTCAGTATTATTTTGGGCTATTCCAGCCACCAAACTTCTTGAACAACCTTCATATGAGAAAGTAAGAGAGGAGGAAATGTTTGATATGCGCCCTGATGTTTCAGATACTTCTAAGCATCTAGATCTTTCCTGGAAACCTCTCATAAAGGTACTATACACAAATATAGAACAGAAGTATCAAGCCAAACTGTAGATATGACCAGAATTCCATAGGAATGTATTAATTTGCTTCCCAGCTCTTTAATTTTTTCAGCAAATTGTGACTCGCTGTGAATTTCCTTCTGCTTATGGAATGAAGGACTTTGATGTTCCTCTGAAACTTCAGTAAAATGCAGTTTGAGAACCTAACTCAGTATACACAATAAACAGCATGACTGCCGCTTCAAAACTGTAGTAGGTGCAAAAGTAGTTTTATTAATAGCATAAGTTCCTGTCAGCCTTTTCAACTGCTGTGCTCTCTATCTCAGTGGGTTTCAAACTGTGAAACATGGTCATTGTCAACAGAACGATAATTGCTGGCAACCCAATAATCACTCTGATGAAAACGGTCATGGCAGTTTGTTAAAAAACTGAGGCTGATCTGTAAAAAAAAAAAATAAATAAATAATTTTGGCCCTGCTGATCTGTGCTGCTCAGAATAGCTGCAATCTAGTACAGCTGTTGAACAAGCATGACCACTGGAGCTGTTTTTTTGCTAGAAACATGGCAAAATCCTTATAGTGAAAGGCTAACACAAGAGAAACCACAGTGTGCGTTTTCTCTGTGTTTGCACATGAGGCAGCAAATACTCTTCACAGAGTATTATAAGCACATTGCAAACTAAGACGACCTGTTTCATTACAGCAGAAAGTCATTTAGTCTTGTGCCTCAAAGATCTGACAAAATGAGTTAACAAATGCATTTTTTTTCTGAACAGATAAACCTGTATGAAAGTGATCCCAATGCAGAGCATGGTCCCGTCAGAATTAGTTTAAGGGAACTGCACCATCATTACAGAACCTCAGGTAATATTATTACACCTTATTGGGGAAAATGTTTTTAATAAGTTTATGTTTCAGTATATACATCATGACAGCTGAGCCACAAAATGTTGTATAGCTAAATGCATCCAGAGAAAAAGGTTTCTTAAATATACTGGTATTCAAAGTATGACACACATGTATTGACTACAAAGATATGTACACGTACTGAATAAAAAAGAGCAGTTCCATATCCACAGTAACTCTGCTACGTTTCACTTAATAGCCCATGCAAGTCCCCCACACAGTCTCTTTATCCCTGAAACACTATATCCTTTTCAGCCCTTACAGAATACTGTTTTTAGAAAAATAATCCTGGAGTAACGGTATATATTGTAGGTATTTCTGTAGTGCTTTGGATAGTGGTGCCACTTCACGTTCTGTAGTAAATCAGTTCTTATTACGGTAGTTTGTGGTAGGAACACACTACTAATCACCTGTAAAGTCAGCACGCTGACACACAGGTAGCCCAAAAGTTGGACGACCTGAGAGAGTGACTGCAAACCACGCCAGAAAATGCCTTTCTGGCAGCTGAGCTGCTGTGGCACAGTTGCTCCAGCACACGCAGGTACCACGCAGGAGCCAGGCAGTGCCACTCCCTGGAGCAGAAACGTTTGCTCCTGGTTGGAGCAGCTAAGGGGGATGCGTAAGAGCAGTTCCCACAAAGACACTGATGCTGTGTAAAACTGATGAAGAACAGAATGGTGTTACCCTAAGTAGTTGTCTGGGTACGGGAAGCACTGACTTCAGAGCAGCTGCAGCAATGGGGAGGTTCCACCAGGAAACAACGTGCAAAACTGCTGCTTTACTTGGCAGTCTGTCTTCACCTCTCCTCTTGAAATTACCCTTATCCATGAACTACCTTTGTAAGACAAATAATTTGCTTGGTCTGGTAAATTCCAGTGTATAATAAATAGATGTGTCTGTATTGTTTCCCAGAGAAGGTGCAATCTCTGAACACCCTAGAAGTACCCACCAAAGACAGCCGATATACAGAGATGAGTATTTCAAGCAAAAATCTGAAACTGCTAGAGAAGATGTCCACCAATGTTTTTCACGGAACTGAAGTAAGTGAAAATAATAGCTTACTAATGAAAATGTTAATCCAAGATATCTGAAAGACTGAACAATTCAATAACAGAGTTTTCACAAATGTATGGACTTCCATGTTTTCTTCAGGTGTTAACTAAAAGGATCTTTCTGGACATGCCACATTTTACTTCCATCTTAATACATTTAGTTACATGCTTAAAATAGTAATAAACCCACAATATTTGTTAGACTATGAAACCTTACTTCAAGGACAGAATTAGAAGACATTTCCAAAATATGTTGAACTTAAGTACCGGCTAGCAGGAACCAAACAGTATTTCCTTATTCCAGAATCCATAGATTAGTAATATTTTTTGTGGTTCCCCAAATGTCCAGTGAAAATGTTTATACTACAAGTTTCCCCCACAACTTACTTCTACTGTAGGAAGTCCTGGCTATTCCTAGCCATCTATCTACCCTATGTATCTAAAATTCCAAAATCTTTCCCAGTTTTGAGAAATGAAAATTTGACTACTAGCTACATTTTTGCTTCTGGTCACCTTTTCCCCAAATAGTGGAGCAAAGCATGAACTGTAAAAACCAAGCACCTAATTCTTTAGGAAAGACCGACTACATACATCATGGTAAGTAAAGCTGTTTTGGCAATACATAACTGAAAAATGGTTATCCAAAATGTTAGTGTTTTTTCAGTCTTTGGCTGCAAATTTAGGTTTTAATTTACTCAGAACATATTTCATGATGGTTATAATTAAAGTCACAGCTTAAAAACAAGTCACTTTGCTATAAGCCACCAAGCTCTAACGTTAGCATTTACTTCATTTTTCTGGCATCACAGGATGGAGAAATTGTTTATTCTAACTGGAAAATGGAAATTGATAGTGACTCAGCGAAACCAGTTAGTAAGTTCAAGTTTCTCAATATCTGCCTAAATCTTAATATATCGCTAACTTTAAAATATTTGCGCTGATACTCTAAGACTCTTGCTCATCTGCTATAATAGTCTATCTCACTGATGACATGAGGAATTAGCAGTACACCCTCAAAAGTGCCAGCAGTTCAGCTGTCATGACAAACTAGCAGAAACTTCCAGTAACACAGGTACATCGCTATGTACCTATTGGCACAAATCACAGAAGTAACTAGATTTGAGGCAATTCCAATTCCTATACCTTGTGAGCAAAAAAATGAGGCTAGTATCTTTGAAGCCTGTGTTGGATCCTGTGCTCTTGTTTCCCCCCGTGTAGCTCCCATGGTGAAGATGATCACTAAAGCACTAGTTACAAGAAACTGCCTTTTTAATTCCATTAGGTCAGAAGCACGTTCAGAAATACATCACCCACACTGAAACTATCAATGCTCTCCAGAGATCTCCATTTTTTAAAGACATCATTCTAAGCATTGGAGGCCGGAATTTTGCCATTTGGAAAGAAGGGGTTACAGTAAGTTACTTTAACACAGCTGTAGCATAATTGATAGATATACAAGACAGAACTATAATAGACTCAGAGACTGTATTTTCAGAAATGTTTGTAAGTCACAAAGCTTCACAGTTTAGAAATAAGTTTGGCATAAGAAAACCTTTTCCTTTTTCTTCACATCAAAAAAACTATTTCAGAAATAGCTTTGTAAACTTGCCTTTTACAGACAAAATGAAGTGCCCTTACTTAATTCCAACCTTATAAAAGCTGTAGCTTCTCAACAAATGATTTCTGCTGCTAGGGGAACCAAAGAATAAAGGTGACGTGCTAAGCAGGTCTGAAGAATTCATATTTAGGATGCAGTATTTTCACCATGTGAAGACAAAGAAACATGGGGTTTTTTACATTTCCTCTCATGTCAGAATCCAGGTTAGCTGCACCTGGCAAAATCTCAAACCCACAGATTTTAACAGCAGATAGACAGATTACCTTAATAGACAAAGTGAGATATCAGCTTTTTTACTTCCCCTCAATTCCCTTTCTCTGCAGAAGGTGATACAAATTTTGCCATTGATATAATTTTTGTAACAGGATAATTTAAATTGTGAATGTTGTCAAATGACAGGAATTTGAAGTAGTGAATAGATAGTACTGTTTGATTGGGTTTGATTGTTGGGTCTATCTCTTTTTTTTTCAAAAAAAAAAAAAAATTAAGTACAGACCAATCCTTCAGTCAAGCTGTTCTGCAGGAAGATACACTGCAGGACAGTGGTCCTTAACAAGACCAGGAGTTTTCTTCATTGGCAGAGATGATGGAAATATAGATATCTGGGATTTACTGAAGAAAACTCATGAGCCATCTTATTTCCAGAACATCTCCAAATCAAGCATCACTTTTGTCAGCCCCTGGATTGCTTCAGGTACGCTGATGGTGATGACACTTTACTGTGCCACCCTGTTTACAAAACAGCCCTTGACTCCAAGGCACACTAATTTTGTTACAGATGATCTTATCTATTCTATAAGTACATACTTCTACTAATTTAACACTGTAACGTATAACTGATGTATGCATTTAAGTATATAAGTGTACTACCATAGCATAAAGCAACTGAAAACATTTAATTTAATAAAAAAAAAGTTTTAAAAAGTATAAACTTTAAAGGGAATTTAATTTGTTAAGAAAATAAGAGGGCAACAAGGCTGCCTCTTTGCTGAAGTGAACAATAAACCAAAAAGACCACAACAAAAATGAACCCTATGTAGCTTGTTTTTGGGTGGAGGTATGTGTTACTGTTGGAATTTAGATTGTGTTTTATCAAATATTTTTCAGCAAAGCAGAATTTTTTGGCTGTTTCGGATGATCTTGGAGTACTGCATGTTTTGGAGATCTGTCAAACACAAAGTCACCCTTCAAAGAATGAGGTTAGTAAGAATCTTTATTAATCTCTGTGACACTTTATCCTGAAAACTCCAGCACAGAAACACGACTGGCTGGAAAAACTTGCCTTCAAATGGATGGCAATTAATTTGAGATCAGTATGGCCATCTTCTCCAAAGATGGCCTGTAGCAAAGCTGGCTTTTGCACAGAGCTCAGATAGGAGGCACCTAAAGTAAACCTGGGTGACAGTTGGCAGAATTCCACTGCTCCAACCTGTCTACATGAAAACAATGTAAAGAGTTCAGCATTTTTTGCCATATGCATAAAATGACACCTGGTTTGATGCATTTAAACAATGCTATATAGTGCACAGGAACATAAATATACTGAGTTTCTCTTTCTTTACACCTTCTTGTCCACATTTGTGTCATTTTTTTTCCTATACATTTGGTACTTTGACTTATACAACTTAGTATCTGGTTCTAGCTTAGTTAAAGCACATTTTGCAAAATGTTACTAACATTACCACTCATTAATTCTTTTTTGAAATAAGGACTATCTGTATCAAAGGGCCACAGGAACAATGGAAACAGTCTTAACTTCTCTTTATTTCCACATCTTCTTTTCCTCCACCTCCCAGCCAAAGTTCAAGCTAGTGTTTTCATCTCATCCAGTCTAGCAGTCTTACCTGCTACCTAGACTGTTATTTTTACATCACAAAATCTTCTTCCCATCCTATCCCAGTTTTAAGTTAAGTTTATGTATGCACTTAAATAGTTTGTAAACATCCCGTAAAGGTTTGCTGTATGCAGAGCTACAGTAAGTAGCAATATATCACCAGGTCAGCAGCCTCATTTTTGTAAGTGTAACTGCTTCAAAGCAAGGTAAGAGCTATGTGCTATAACATGAGGAAACATTGCTTCTGCTCAAATTACAGGTGTTTTGAAACCACAGTATTTAGGGCATAGAATTATTAACTCAGGAGCAGTCACTAATATTTAGATTATGTTAATTCTAACTAAAGTATTCACTGGAAAATACTAGGTTGTAGAAGAGACTAATGAAAACTAAAACTCAGAATCCCAGATAAGTGCATAGTGTAATACCAAAGTATGGTATTTTATGGTTTCTTTGTGCCTGAAGTTGGGTCAGTGAGGATTTGGACTGATTTAGTGAAATCACTGACCTAAAACTAGTTATTGCAGTACAGGTTCCTGAAGGATGATCTACTCTGAGTCAGTGTAATAAAAATTATTTAACCCCATGCATATTTGTATCCAAAATCAATTGGTTTCAGTCCACATCTTTACATTGTTTTGTTGCAAATTATTTGATAGAGGTATCTAAGTTCCCAATATACATAAACTAATAATACCATTCAGATCATCAGCAATAATTGTGTCTTTGGGCATGTCATGACCCTTGTCTGTCACTGTGTTAATAGCATGCCAACGTACTTGATTATTTTGAAAGAGAAGTCAAATACCTGAAGTACAGTGAACAAGAGTTTCAAGAGTATCAAGAGCTTCAAGACAAAACAGAACTGAAATGGAGCTGGAGGCACAGAGGGAGAAAACAGTATGTTGTACTCAGAATTAAGAAAACTTTCATTGTTTCTTTGGGTCTTTAAAATGCACCTGTTTTGCTAGGCAGGATTTCCCATAGTATTTTCAAAATTAGGATGGACGTAATCAGAATAGCTTAGTAGCTCCTTATTTCATATTTACAGTTCTTAGGAGTGGAATACATGGTCCTAGTTCACATGAGTTCAGCTCTTGGTCAAGTGAAACTCCTGCAAAAGCATTAAAGTCTGTGGGCATTTAACAACTATTAATTTGCTTTTCTTTTTACATCAGCTGCTCTTTCAAAAAGTTACATTTTGGCAAATTCCCTATAAACATTGCTCCTTCAAGGGAGGATAAACTTCAGCCTTCCATTCTTAATTCACATAAGGATTTTGCCTACCCATTCTTTGGTAAATGGTTTAACGATCCTAACTAATCAACCAAGGAAATTACAATTCAGTTAATGTAGCCCTAGGTGATGCCTATTTTCATTGTGATAACACTGATTTTATCCACTGGAAAGCAATGGGGTTGCATACAGGTTTCAAAGCTTAACAGTGCCTGGTATTTGTTTTTCCTTCAGAGTATGACTACTCTACAGAAAACTAGAGAAGAAATGGAGGAGCAAGAAAATGCAGAGTATAACTGTGTTTCTAGACCTGGAAAAGCAGATACTAATGGATTTAGGACTAGTAAAGGGGCAAGAAATACTTTCCTAATCAGATACTTAAAGCCCATTATCACCTTTAGAACCAGCGAGCTTTTTATTTTTGAACCTCTTTATTTCAGCAGAACATGTTCAGCTTCAGAAATAAAGCATCTTGCAGTTAAAGATTATTGTTTCATTAACTTTATCCATTTGTTTATTCACAGTGTGGTTAGAGAACAACTGTTTTGGACACAACTCACTATTTTTCATTAATACAGTTATAATGAATATTTTGTCTGTTTAAATAGTAGATTTCAAAGTTCTGTGTCTGTCAGGACTCTATAAGCTGTAAAAATCTTAAACACAACTCAGCTGATCAAACCAGCATGCCAGTATTCACCCCTCCAACCTACGTCCACCTGCTCGGACCAGAGGGGAAGCCATTCTACTCCAGTAGTTACATTCACATAGGCCATCCAAATTCTGCTACTCGGCTCCAGTAAGCATCTCCTCCCTCATCCTCAAACTATTAAATTCTCTTGAAAAGTTAAGGACAAGCAGTAGAGGTCTATTTGATATGTACAGGACATGTCCTGCTCTGGAGATATGGTGACAGAAAGCACTCCAGAGCGAAGCACACTCACCTGAGGCCTCTGCAGCCCCAGGTCCCCGAGCTGCCACTGAAGGGAGAAGGGGAGGCACACAGGTACCTCAGATGACCACAACAATCACACTAACACAGGAGATGGAAGGAATAATTCCTCATGCAAAGGCTCTACTCTCACCTAAGGCATTTAAAGATCAAAACCAGACCCTGAATTGCTCTTATAAATCAGTAGGCCACTGAAGCTCACGAAGGAACAGAGCTCACAGGAACAAAGGTATTTTTTACACTAAAGATGATTTCATCATTAGCTAGCTTTACCCACTACAACTTCCATAAGCAATTGTTTCTCAAATAGCATATGCAGTCACTGGGATTACAGCAGGGAAGAGAGGTGGCCATCACTGCTACAAGCGGATCTATCCCAAGAAGACTGTCACAATGCTTGAACGGCATCATATGATGCTACTGCTTATGCAGGGAATAGTCAACATCAGTGCTCCTTTGACAACAGCAACCTGGTTCTGTTCCCTTAAATGCGGCCACAACAAATATTCACTATGCTATAAAGTCTTCTATTTATTACTTACTACACTTAAATGATAGGGGTCCCCCTTGCACTTCTGCTGAATCCATAAATCGAGATGATAAGGGAGGACCATATAAATTACTAAACAAATTTCAAGGGCTGCTGAACTGAAAGCATAGATCTGACCACACTATTCATAAACGCTTCAAACTGCAGGCTGAACCACTTTCCCGTGCCATCATCAGATTAGAAAATGATTGTTACTTAAACTTGGCAAATGCTTACAAACAGAAAACCAAAGCCATTAAAATATATATTGTTCCCTCAAATAAATCAGTTTTATTTTGAACAAACAGCTTTTACCAAGCACACTGTGGCTGCTGAGTGTGTGCATTTCTATCAAAAGATAATTATTCTTGAGAGAGATCGAATGCTATTATACAAAAGTTTTAATATTTACCAGTGTAAATGAGTTCAACGGCTCATGAATATTAATGTTCATCTTCCATCCACAGAGACAACTCTTTCGTAAGCAGTGTTCTGCTGGTTGCTTGGTTTCAATAGCCAGGTCAGGCACCATGTAACTGAGCAGAGCCTGTCAAGCAGAAATTAAATCTATCAGAGGAGGACAGATTAAACTCTATACGGATGAGTTCACTCTTTCCATGACTCACCAAACTGTTTGAGGGTCACAGATTCCTGTCAAACAAATGTCCATATGGTCACAGCAGACACTGAAGCACAAAAGACAACTGACACACGGGGGATTTGCGGAGAGGATCTTCAGCTGACAAGAGATAGCCGGCCCCAGTGCTCTGCTTCATCACAGTGAAGTGTAGCCAGATACGAAACAGGAGCAGTGTGAGCCTTCTACATCCCAAAATAAACATTGCAAATTGGTTTTAGGAAGTGTTAAAAACACTCCCCTTCAATTTTCTGCAGCCAAGATCTCCCCATCACATGTTTTTACCACTTTGATTGAACTTTGGTCAGATTTAAGAGAGGTTTGGTGCCACTAGATAGGACTTGGTTTGAAAAATAGTCTTTTGCTAGTTTGAAGTTTTAATATTACAGAAATATTCTTGTTCCTCATATTAAACTACCTCTAAATTAAAACCAGGGAAAATTCAACAAGCACATCCCTACCACCTGCAGCACAGTGTTTGCAGTCAGAGCTCAAACAGGAAGAGAACACAGCTCCTCTGCTAAATCAACATTTAGCTAACAGCCTGCTCCATACAGATATGTAAATATCCCACAACCGGCTAATTAAAAAGCTGAGCTCTCTGTTATAAGGCCTGGACTTTGTTAGAATACCACCTCACATCATCTTCTACAGACTTGATTAGCAGGGCTACATATACATTCAAATCAACCCTATGGTCACCTGGCAAGCCCAACCATCCCTCCTCCACTGTAGTTCTGTCACTACAACCAAGATGAGGTGGCAGCCTCAACATGAGCCTTGTTCCCCACCACAGAGGCACTCTTGAGAGCTTTGATTAAGAAAGTATTCCAGAGGACAGCTGGGTTTCAGCTGGGTTTTCCTAGCAGGGAGGACAAGAAGGCAGCAGACCAGGGCTCTGCTGATGAGCCTCCCTCCCACCCCAGAGCACAGTAGTCTGGGGAGCTGCAGGAATCCCCCAATGGAAAGGGAGTAGCCTTCCTGCGAGCCATTTTCCTCCTCGCTTCTGCTCTCAAATAACACCAGAGACATGAGATTATACATTCCATCACAATCTTTTATCCTCTCTAATGCAATCTTAAACATTCAAATACCTGTAGGGTCGGCTTTGCATACTCTCATGGCAGACTGTTCCACAGGTTAATATTGGCTAGCAAATTTTGATGTTAAGACAAATTATAGGGCTTCCTGCATGACTCTAAAAAAGTCAAACAGAATGAAAACAGTTACTAATTGTAAATGCATCATAGTTACGCTAAAATGTGACACCAGTCCTCCTCCCACCCCCAAAAAACATCTTTCAACTGTTGCTAGCTGCAGAATTTGAGATAGACTTCTTATATCAAGATACATTTTTACTGTTAAGAAAGCCCGATACCTTGGGATGGGGAGGAAGGTGAAGGGGTTAAGATCTGGCAGCAGAAATACCAGATGTATCTCTGGCTTAGATTTATAGATTTATTCTGTAAAAACCCTGAGTATCTACTTCTGTTGGGGATGTTTCCCTCTATTTTTGGAACACATCTGAATAGCTGCAGCTACAGTTCTTGCCTGATGCATTCATAAACATACACATACGTTAAGCATTTGGGAAAGACAGATCTAAAGCTCTGAAGTTTCTGAGGATGTAGGTCCTGCCACCCCCCACACCATCTCGACCCATCTTTTGCACAGTCCTGTAATACATCACTTTGGGAAGCTGAGAAAGGGGGAGAAGCGAATCAGTGTCAGCTAGATCAGCCACACAGCCCAAGCATTTGGACAATCCTGTTTGAACAAACAGCAGTGGATTAAAACTCTGTGAATGGGCCTAGTCCATTTCTGAACCCACCTAAGTGTATCACATCCTGAACACCTGGCAGCAAAGAGTTGCACAGACCTACAGATGCATTTCTGCTTTTCCCTGGGGACTACAAACTACAATTCTTGGCTGCTACCCAGCCCAGCACGTGGTCATCACTGCCCCATACTTGGGTATTACAACTCATACGTGACTTTGGTGCAAGTCTTGGAATCGTTTCTGTAAAAGCATCTGCATCCATTTTCTTTACCTGGGAAGTGGAGGTCCCACCTGAAGAAGTCCACACACGCCAAGGACCTCTGCTCTCTGCTCTTTAACCTCTTCCAGCAGTGGTAAGAGCCCCTGCAGAATAGAAGCTGCTCCTGATGTCAAACTGAGTTACACCAAGCAGACAACAACAAAAGGTTAGTATGGTAAGAGAAGTTCCTGCCTGTGCCCACCAAGCTTGACAAGAGTTCTGCCCTGCAAACCATACACAGCCTAAGGGTGCTCTTCTGTATGAAAAAAAAATGTTCGTTACTATTTTGGTAGAAGCAGGTTGTTTTAATCTCCTGGTTTAGTATTTCTAGATGAGGGTAATTCCCACACGAATCCCATTCTTTAAGAACCTGTAACAATCACAAGGGTGCAGCTTGACCAGATTATATCAATAACTATATGAAATATAATAATATGTATACAAATATATATGGGACAACATAACACAAAAATACCACTTGGGAAATGTCTCATTTTAAGAGGATCTCCAAGATACAAAACATGTTATACAAGTTTTTATAACTAGAATAACAGTAAATGTTTCATTTGAATAATACTAATACTTGACTATATTTTAATTAACTAATTAGATTAGCATTAATACAGTTTATTAAGTCATTAATTTCCCCTGTTGTAAGGTTAAAATAAAGTTGGCAGAGCAGCACAGTGCTGCACTGAGTTACAGAACCCTTGTGTAGGAAAAGCTTACACTTACCCAGAAGGTGCTCACTTAAATCATTTAGATTATTACAAACAATGAAAACTTAATGTATCATTTATCAAATAACTTTAAATGCAATCATCTTCCAACCACTGCCAATACATTCACACACTCAGTGCAGAAGCCAGGCTATGTTCAAAAGCATTACCATCCTGCAACAGAAGAAATGCTGCCACAACACTGCTTTGACAACTTCTTTAGAATACTGTTCCTTTTGGATTTAAATTGAGTAGTGGTTTGCATTTTTTGTTTTTTTAATTATGTAACTGAAATGTTGGGTCAATCTAGAAATTGCAACAGAACAAAACATCTTCTGAAAAGCTTGTCTTTATGGAATTAGTTCACATGTGCAGCCAGTGCAAATGGATGGCATCAGCTTAGATTTAAATAATCATTAACTAGGCTTAGTCAAATTTTGTTCTTAATTCAAATTTTATTTAGAATTTAAATTTATAGTTTAAAAAGTATGCACATTCTGTAGGTATAAAAGTTTAAAAAAATACATCGATTTATTGATAAATGCTTCGGGTTAAAT